TATGATAAAAGTCTGTTGTAATAACTTGAAGTTGACGCGCTAGTGTAAAGTGGCCGACTCGCTTGGGTGGCCGACTCGCTTGTGAACCACGTTATCAATGTTCAGCTAGATTTTATAGATGAAGAACAGATCACTCCTTAAACAAGATGTTCATGACGGCGGTGCTAAACTTGGTGGTCCCGCAAACATGGAGCTTAGTGTTGTGTCAAGCATAGAGAAAATAAAAAAATAGTTACTTGACAGCTCTCCTGGCAGTGCTAAAAGGGGGTGAAGCTTAGGCAATAGACAGAGTAGATACATATTAGCTCCACCCTTCAGGCTCGCCAGCTAGGCTGTGAAGTACCTATTTTATATATGATGTAAGGCGAACGAGCGGCGCGCGCTCTTTGCCTCTATTCGCTCTTGCGGAGAGTAGACCTTTTAGCTCGTTCTCCAGCTCATTCTCCAGCTACTCTGCTTAGTCGGTCTAGTCTTCGAGCTAGTGCTTTAGCCACCCCTTGGGTCGTTCTTTAGCTGGATTTTTGAGCTCGTATTCAGCTCGCTTTCTAGTCGGTTTTTGGCTAGGCTGGCGGGAATCTTGATATCTGTCACGTGATTGGGTACTCTCCAAAACGGAAAATACTGATTCCTTGGCATCCCAATCAGAGCATAGCTTCTTCGAGCCAATCAGATCGCGTTTCTTCGTACACGGAAAACGAGGTCCATGAATGCGACAAGTAGTATTGAGGGTTGTCCAAGTGTTCGCAATGGTGGGCACCTAAGGCACTAGCGAAGCCATATGCACACTTTATGTGTATAAGAATGGCTATCTTCGAATGTAATGAGTTGGCTGTATTCTCACATCAAAAGTATGAACCTTGCATACCCGATGTACTCCTCTAGCAAGCCTTGCTAATCTTAACCCCCCCTAGAACCAGCTTCTGGAATGTCTGACTAGGGTCATACCTCTTTGACACAGATTCTATAAAGTAAATCCTTTGCTATTCGTAGTCACAAAGTGGCTTTTGCGACGGAGCCGCAAAGTTCTGATACAAGAAGCGATGGCGGTTTGCGCCGGCAGCTTTAGTAACCGCGTCGACCCACTCCCCCACCATCTCATACATGGCTGCGTCCTGAGCGGCGTCAAACCATCGCGGTTTTATGGACGCTACAATCAGATCCTCTGGGTTCTCTTCCAAGCCGAGTACATTTCCTCCTCGGACTGCGGCAAGCGTCAAAGATATCTTGGCGGTCGGCACATAGAAGTTGACCCAGTTCAGGTATTCGACCGTCATGTTGTATTTGAGGTAGACCTGGTCTGAGGCAGTATGGATAGCGAATAAGGTAGGTGGATCAGTTCAAAACGTGACTGTTGCGGACGTATCGCGAAATCCGTCGGCTTGGTAGGTATCAAGCTCGGTGACTACATTACTGATAGAACGCAGGTCTATCGTGTTGGCAATCTGGGGCTGGAGCAATGTAAAGGGATCTAAGCCGGCTGAGTTGACAGTACTGTCTGTGCTTGCCAGAGGCGATGCAATCACATTCGGACCTGTCGAAGTGTATGTGAAGGCAACCTATGAGCCATTGTTGGGCAGTGTGTTGTTAAGAGTCGTGAAATTGACAATTGTGTTGAACGTAGTATTGCCCGGGTTTGGAATTTACGGGAGCAGTATTGAGCCGCCCCAAATCTTGGGTCGCTTACTGATTGCGGCGACATCGACTCGTGTCACAACACCAAAGTTATTACCGCCACCCTTGAGAACTTTCTAAAGCCCAATGTTGCTCTTATGGCTTACGTCAACGACATCACCTGAGGTCAGTACCACTTAATAGTTTACTACATTATTCACAACCCATCCATGTTTCAAAAACAGGAATGACATTCCACTGCCTATGGGTTTTGGAAACGTCGTGGTGCATTTAAAGAACATTGCGTAGATCTGTTATTTCATACATGTCGCAAACCATCAAGCTTTATCTTGGATAATAACTTCACCTCCACCTTCTCGATTCAACAAAACGCAACTTCTCTTCCACGGCGCAATGACTACAGCTTGGAAAGCATTAGAAAAGTGCCTGCCCTTAAGGAATAGCAACAACGACGCATGATGGCACCTCACAGGCCGCCATTTGGCTGCAATTATGGATGCGGCAGGATGTACTCTCGAGAAGCAGTACGAAGCACTACTATTCTACTATCATTGGACGATGCCGTATATGGGGCGCACCCCCGGGCTGGCGCAGCATTCCTCAACTGGCGCTTGGAAGTCGCTCTTGGCCCTAGACGGAACGCCCGTGGAATACATCCAAGGCTGGCTCTACACCCAATGTGTGTAGACGGGCTGAGGCTGAGGCGCGAATCCTATAGCGGGGCTCCGACGGCCTCCTTCACAACGCTAGCGCGTACTGCTGTCGGCCAGTTCCTCAACACAGGCCCACAAGGCCGAAATTCCACGCCAATATCGCTAACTATGGACAATGTTGCATCCGGGACTTCACGTCCCAAGTTGTACTTTCATACTACGCAGACAAGCTTTGCGTCAGTACGACATATAATGACACTAGGAGGCGTTATAGCTGCGCCCGAAGTTTAGAGGCTTCTAGGTCAGCTAGCGTCTCTCGTGAAAGCCATCAATGAGCTTGAAAACGATTTTCCTGAAGATGCCGAGGTGCCTGCGGAGTCAGAGTTAGAGACCGGTCTCAACTTTGGAGAGCTAAGTAAGGTGCTTAAGGGCTACCTATACTACTTTAACCTTGCTCCGGGCAAGGCGGTGCCGAAGATCAAACTATTTGTTCCTACCCGGTACTATGGAGGCAATGACCCGGTGCTTGGACGTCCACTGACCGGGTGGATGGAGGCGAATGGACGAGGGTCGCCCTGTAATGGCTATCCTGGGATGCTAGAGAGCCTAGCTGGACATCTAACATTGGATCAGGGCAAGGGTTTGCAGACGTACGTTAGCTGCTTGTTCAAGGAGGGTGAATTGGATATTGCAACGTACCTCGGAGCCGAGGCATTTCATCCAGGGCGCCTTGCATCTACAGTCGGGCCCTGGTTAACCAAGTCGCCGACTCTGCGCCTTGAGTACTGGTACTAATTGATGTGGCACCAGGTCGTGGTAGGCAAGTGGACATGGAACCGAGGTCTGGAAGGTCCACAGGCTAACTCATCTACTGGTAACGAGCGATATAAAAGATTTAGGACGTCAAGCCCGAGTATTGCAAATGCAGTGTTTGAAGATGTTATATTGTTACGCAGTATGCAAAGCATATCTTGATTTCATTGTTTCCTTCTTCTCACACTATACAAGGCTAACGACGAATTAACGACCTAAAGATTCCGACAGCTTCACGGCTCGTATTCTCTTAGAATACTTTACACTCTTGATCACTCAAAGCACTATACAGGGTGACAGATGTTATAAATAAATAAAATTCGACGGACTTGGAAAAACTAAATTTGGTGCGAGTCTGTTCTATGTATACCTCTGGAAAGCCTACTTTGACCATAAGAAATTCAAGTCTTGAAGTACGACACGTCTTTTATAGCACGAGGTTCGAAGAATCAAGTAGCTTGGCTTACATGTTCTTCATGCGTTTGCAGCTATCAATACCCTTCATGTTAATGTCATGCATAGTACGCCTGACAGGTGCACCTGTGGCGGATAGCTCGTATTCGGCTATGATGATGCTGGTTCCTGGATTATGGAAAAGAAGAGATTCTCACGTGGGTAGCGGGCTGCAACGGCGAGCTGCTCGGCCCTACCGACAAGCTTCTCGGTAGTGCCGACAAGCTGAGAGTGCATCTTTTGGTTGGCGGAACCATTTGGCGCCTGAAAGGTATCATCAAGACTAGTAGTCTTGCGCACGAAGGAGATAAGGGGGCTTGGCGGGGCAATCTACAATTGTGTACTTTGTTTAGCCTCGACGTAAGACTGCAACATGGTCTGAGTTGCATGCAAGTCATACCTGACCATGTTGAATGCAACGCAAAACTTGGGGCTCTCTTGCAACACAGCCTGCGGGCCAGAACCTGAGGCCGTATGCTGCCCACCAGATGTCCAAGTATGGAAGAGACGGACCCCGTGTGCACGTACGGGTATTTAGTCGCCTTTGATCGCTCTTGTTCGCCGAGGTCTTGTCAAGGCCCAGCATGGATTCGAGACTTGGCACTGATCTTGTGAGTGCAGCTGAACATGTCGCAAACCGATGTCGCGATGCGGTGCGTAGCGGGCTAGGGTCATCAGACACAGCGAGCATTTGCTCATCCTTGGACTACGTCCAGTCGCTGCTCTTCCAATTGGAGCCAATGATGTTTGTCCAGCGGCTTGCAAACCAGGTGCGGCCGCCTTCATCCCCCTGGCTAACTCTCCTCAGATTTTCCAGTCCAATCTGAGATGGGTAGTTATCTGTTGCAAGACACTTGCTGACATGAGCGTAGAACCAGCTTCTAGCATGTGTGCAATGGTTAGGCGAGTTCCAAGTACTGGCCTATCTCCCAGTCGAGGCAGAGGACGGGCTGTCTATCAAGGATGTGGCCGAACTGGCTGACGTGCCTGAGGCGCAGCTGTGCCGGATTATTCGTCTTACAACAATGGGCGGCTTCTTGCGCGAACCACGGGCTGGCTTCGTTGCACACACCGCCCTTTCCGCTAGTTTCGTTCGCCAACTAGCCCAACTAGACGCAACTATGTTCTTGGCTGAGACCGTGGCTCCTTGTATGCTGCGCATGGCCGCTGTATCGCAATGCCCCCAGGGTGAAGGATTCTCGGTCGACTGGAGCAGCCAACGAGTGCAACGACTGTGGTCAAGCTTTGATGGGGCCATGGGCGGTGGGGATCAAGACAATCCTATCTTGGCACAAATCGACTGGACGAGCCTGGCTCACGATGCCGCCCTATCGTTGCCAAAGGTGGTGGTAACAGTGGTTCAGGTTGCTGGGGTCGACGATGTAGTGGGCCCACTCCTGTCACGTGGCTTGGCGGGTGCGGGGGTAATTTTAGCGCTAGCGGAAAGCCACCCCGCCCTGATCTTCGTTGTTCAGACGCAGAGTAACGCCACAGCCACAGCAATAGCCACAGCCACAGTCACACCAGCCACCACCCATAACAACCTCTACCTATGTCACCGAACGCATGGCACGCCACAGACAATAAACGACGCCGTCCTGTACCTCATGCGCGTACCCGCAACCGTTCCTGGATCCGTCCGCCCTCATATTGAAGCCGAACTGCACGCCCACCTACCCGTCCTTAAGGCCCAGCGAAGCGCCATACTGATTCTGACATGTCCCCTGCTGCCGGAGCCCGGCGCCGTCTTACGTCAGACTGAGCTGCTCGCACGCCTGCGTGACTTGACTCTACTACAGTTGGTCGGGAGTGGCCTGTTAACATTACATGAACTAGTCGAGCTTGTTAGCAGCATCCACGATGCCCACGGCGGTCTTGTCGTCGTCAAGCAGCTTCATGCTTCTAATAGCGCCGTCGTCGGTTTAGCGGTCCGTTATCAGCCATTGCTACCTATGACTGGCTAACGTGACGTCTGACAGCTTCCACTATGTACGTAGTACCCAAAATTGGCGACACGGTGGCGCGTTGTGTAGAAGTGGCGATTGTAATTTCTTATCCTAGAGCTATGTTCACCGGTACGGACTAAATACTCCTATATAATTGCAATCTAGAACTAGACCAACCACTCATATATGGTCGCAATCCACAACGATTATGACCAACCTATCTCTCTTCTTTGTCCTCGTGTTCAAAAGCAAACTGGGCTAGTATCACCGGCATGGCACTCAAGTTGCGTGATAGCTGTGACGCCTGTGCCGCATCAAAGGTGAAATGTCACAAACAGAAGCCAACATGCTCACGTTGCCAGAGGCGTGGTACTCCTTGCCATTATCAGGTCAACAAACGCGCTGGCCGTCGCCCAGACTCGGCTGCCTTTCCTTCCCTTGCTACATTGATGCTACAATGGGAACCATTCGACTTCGATTCATCATTTAGCACGACTACTACAATTTCATCCACTCACTGGACCGACAACGACACCTATATGCACCAATTGCTCACCCCAACACCTTTCTTTTCTGGAGACAATTCTAGTCAATCTGCCTACGACTGGACTTCTACCACACCCAGCAACGATATCTTCATGGCCCAATCCATGCATGCCGCAACTATGTCTTGTACATCGTCAAGTTCTCCGGGACTCGGGTCTGACGCCGCATCACCCGTAAATCTGGCCAGGGACCTGGATGACAACCTGCCATCTTCCGTGAGCCTCTGGGCCCCCACAGTCCATAAAACATCTACCGTTGACACGCCTCCCTTACTCGAATCATGTACCGAGTCACAATCCTCAGCTTCAAATGCCACCATCCCAGCGCTCGACACATGCCTTACGCATGCTACAAAAATCATGCAACAACAGTTCCACCAACCTACTTTCGGCTCCCCAAATATCTCCTGTAAGCTCCTCAAACAAGACGGAGTGATCAATGCGACCGGACCAGCCCTAGACCTAGTCATTGAAGCAAACAAGCGGTACATTAACCAAGTTGGTACAATGCTGCAGTGTCAGTGTTCAGCTGACGGCTACCTTCTCACAATAATCTCACTCATCATCTTCAAGATTCTCGACTCTTACGGCGCAGCCGCAAGCGAATCCGAAGTTCGAAAAGCAAAGGCCAATGCCGCGGAAGAAGATGCACAGCGTGTAGCTGCACAGCGGGTCATGGGTGAGCTCCACCGCGTACAGCGCCTGGTGAAACAGCTAGCAACCCACACTAAGCGCTACATATCTACAGAATCTCCAGAAATGACGCCAGGAGTGTTCACATTGTGCGGGCAGCAAGAAGAAGGCGAAGCATCTTTCCCCTTCTCTACAGTCAAGCTGTATCAATTGGAGACGGTCATGAAAAAACGGCTTCGAAGCCTTTCTCTGAAATTAGCAGTTCACCTTAGAAAGGTTTGAGCATTACTCGATACGCATCATCCCGTTCAATATATCGTATGTCGCTTTTCCCACACGCCGAATCGCCGTGTTCCTGACGTGAGCATCGTATACCATTTTACCAAACGGAATTAGTGTCATGACTACTATAATGGCACTAGCTATGGATCGAGGCCAATTGACCAACACTGTGATAGTGGCTTCAACGAATCCTGAATGACGACCTTACGCCCTCTCGCCCAGAATCTCCGTCTAGTTCAAGGTCTATGCCGGCGTACACATGGGTACTAACTAGTGAGGATGGGTATACATTGGCCATCTTGTACCCACTCTGACACTATCTATTTGAGTGCCACCCTTCCTTGTCTACTACCTCCCACCCCAATCATCCTCTTTGGTGTGTCATCAATGCGGGAGTCAAACATGCCCTCTTTAACTACCCCTTATATCCCCTACCTCCTCGATGATAGAGTCACACTGGTGATAAACTCTGGCCGCGGCATTGGCGCCAAAGTTGTCGTCAACTATACCCACTCAGAAGCCTTGACACTGAACGTTGTCACAAATATTAAGGAACTTGGATCAGATGCTGTTGCACCGCGAGCAGATGTCAGAAATGTCGCGAAAACGACCAAGCTCATGGATGAGGCTGTTGCTCGCTTCTGAGGTATAACATTCCTCGTTCTTTGTTTGATGAGCAGGTCGTTCTCTTTCTGGCAGTACAATTTCAAACATCAAGACTTAACTGACCCTGCACTAAAATGCCAATAGCGTTAAGGGATATGGACCCCCATCTTGGTGTAACTTTGATTCTTCCAATCTAGCAGGATAAGGATGGAAGCTCTGAGAAACTGTAAACACAATTCAGAATTCCGATGCCAGGTCCAAACTCGCGATATAGGTAGCCCACATGACCAAAACTGCTACGAGATGATCATGTTGAAGCTGTCCATCATCCTGCTGAGAAATTCAGTAGTTCCTTGGTTCAAACCACGATTTATCACATTGTCCGTGTTTTTTCTTGATTCATTGTGCGATGACAACTTTAAGTCAGGTCAAAAGCCACAAATTCGCAGCCTCTACCAGCTCAGACGATCACGGCAAAAGTCAAAGATCACAAAGATATTTGATTGCACCACGGTTTTCCGAGAAACAATGACAAATGAAAGAAATGTTAGACGGCATTCATCTGCCACAACTCAGGCGAGTCTATATACCTTTTCTACATCATCGGCTATCTGTTTTCATGTCAGCATCTGCTCTCGTATTCTCAGAAACAGCCACAAGTCAACTTTACCTTTTCCGCCACCGCATACACGTTAGCTGTGGGACCCCTAAAAACGGCCATGAGAAAGGTGCTCACGTCGGCGATGCGCAGTCCAGTAACGACGTACATTTTGTGCTCCGCATCGACAGCACCGCCTAATTCTCGTGGTATCTTGGGTGCAGAGCAACACTGCTGTGCGCTCGAGACAGAAAGAGAGTCACGAAGCATGTTCTCGAGATCTTCATCGCTTTGGACATGGGGCTCAAGCGGACCGGCCTCCATGGTTATCGCCACAACGCTGCCGATGGCTAATATGATGGCTGAGATGCGTGATACAGCTACCCGATGCAATACTCGACCCACGTTCACCATTACGGAGTCTGCCGCCTACGACCATACGAACTTTCCCCAGCGTCCCGCTCCTAACGGCCATATTCTAATTGCGCTGTCTGATAGAGAGATATGCAAGGAATACTAGTCACAACAGCATCCCATATCTAAGCTCATACAACTACTAATCGTGCGCCCTGTTGCTAACCATCCTTCGGCTAGCGAGTTTCTCCTAACCATCAGCATTGTCAACCCAAGCTTGAGCTCATCAGCGCTAGCGCGTGATGTTACAGACTGGGGGTTTTGGTTCTTCAGGCTGCCGGTGGCACGCTCGACAGAGGTAGGCAGTAGAACACTAGTGCACGCAGGTGCTTCGGGCATGGAGACGCATGGCAAGTATCTGAACGACTGCATGATCGAGGAACCGAGTCCGCTGGTGACAGATGCGGCGGGCAAGGAGGGGCAGGAGCGCATCGTGACTGAGATTCTCAAGGAGATTGAGGTCATTCAGCTCGGTGCCTCAAAAAGTTTAAGGGTTGTTTGAGCGGTAACATCCATAAACAAGGATTCATCCTCGGTGCGTATATACAGTTTTTCGTCCTATATTTGATCCAGCCAATGTTATCTGGCTACATCATTGTATCGGTATGATTTTCGTGAAGAAAATAGCATTCTCCTACGATATTACACAGTGATATAGGATGAACTGGTCATCCATAATGTAATATTCGTGGAATTGAGTTGGTCTATTTATCTGGCTAGATTCCGGTCCGCCTAGTTAAATAGTTTCGCCGATCGGTCCGTTTATCCACAACCAATCTTTGGACAGCGTGTGAGGGGAAACTGGTATGTACACATACATTTACGGAACTCAGTCCTATTTCCAGATGCCCGCAATGCGTGCTTGTACTCACCGTCTTTGCTTTCACCTGTGCCCTCTTGGGTTGACACGTCCCTGATTGATCCATGGCTCTGCAGAAAGAAGGCTCAAGCATGGGGCAGCTTAGGCCCAAGGGTCACTGACGTGCTTACCCGTAATTTACCAAGGCACTAAACTTTGGGTCAGTCGCTAATAATAGCAATTCTAGCATCACAAGCATGTAAATGTACATTTGCGTGCAATGATTTCAAGGCTCTCCAGCTCCCACCCCTTTTTATACCCCTCAGCTTGACATTTGTAGCATTAGAACATGTAAACAACATGATGCGTTGCTTTTGCTAGACAAGAATAGTAAAAGATTGAGTGTATTCTAGGAACGCCGTAGTAACCACTGCCAACGACCCTCAGATATGGCGAGCTTCCGAAAGCTACAGTCTGACTCTAGCATTTAACCATTGAAGTTTTTCGCGCAAGTCATTTCTTCACCCGTATCGACCACTGCAATGTTTACGCCCCTCCTATGTGAGATCAGCTAGCTGTAGGGCTTTTTGTGCGAACTTTGGAGTGCTAGAGCATCTCATGTCAGCAACTGAATCAAACTATCATGAGGTGGTAAGCCGACGATCTCAATCACGGACTGGATTTAGGATCTGAGATTTTGACATTGTTCACTCATGGAGACATCGCCAGGTATCAGTAGTTGATTATATCTCGAGGAATCGCTGCGTAAAATGCATTTAACGATAGCCCTAATCTCTAAATTGCTGCCAATTCGCGTTTTCATACTTCATAAGAGCACTGCTTCAATAGTGGCTACACCCTTCGATCCTATATGTGAAACCTTAATCACGTTTTTTCTCACCAGTAAGCTGGGCTGATATTTTCTCTTCGCTACAGATGGTTCTCGAAGTTTACATAACTACAAAGTAAATTCACCACAGAGGCTTGATTTTTAACTACAAGGATCATGATATTCAAAGTCAAGATGTCTCCTCGCGAGCGGTAACTACCTGCAAGCGGAGAATCCCTCGCCAGGGCGCTATACCAAAGACGGCAGTATTACACGATAACCAGAATCATCAGCACATGTTTCGGGTATTCATTTCGGACGTATTACAACGCCTCACGACACACAGTCCAGTAAGTCGAATGAATGGTAAAACCTTGCTCTTCATATTTAACCTGAATGATGTGCCCGAAGAAAAACGCACAGCACATCGATCTCCAACCCTCTAGTCCTTCGTTTTATTCAAGTCGCCTCATCGACGTCACACTATCATTAAAAATGCATCACAACACGCTTGCACTTATTCTCTCCGGCCTCGCTGCACTTGGTCAAGCTGCTCCCGCCAGAGATGCTGCACCACCTAATGAGGCGGCGGACATGCCTGCCAACCTATTGCGCGACTTGCATACCGCTGAAGCCTTCGCCAAGCGCGTATCCGGCCCTCAACAGGTTCTCTCTAACTGGACTGCCGCAGGCTCTGATTTATGTTCGTGGGCAGGTTTTTACTGCGACACCGTCCCCAACACCAACGAACTGGGCCTCGCTTCCATTGATTTCAACGAGTTCGGACTAACTGGCAACCTCAAATTGTCTGGCTTTCTCGACAAATTGACTGACCTCGCCCTCTTCCATGCCAACGACAACGGGTTCAGCGGCGAAGTGCCTGATCTCAGCCAACTGCAATATCTCTACGAGATCGACCTGAGCAACAACAAATTCTCTGGACCTTTCCCGCAGAGCGTACTGAGGATCAACCTCTTGGGGTTCCTCGATCTCCGCTTCAACAAGTTCAGCGGTCCCATCCCCGACAATGTCTTCACCGCCTACCCCAGTCTCGATGCCCTCTTCTTGAACAACAACAAGTTCTCTGGCCAAATCCCCAACACCATCGGCTCGTTCCCCGGCGAATACCTTGTCCTCGCCAACAACCGCCTCTCCGGCCCCATCCCCGACTCCCTGGGCTCCGCTATCCAACTCAAGGAATTCCTGGCTTCCGGGAATAAGTTGTCCGGCTCCATCCCTGACGCCATCGGTTACCTCCCCCACCTCGAACTCTTCGATGTCTCGAACAACAAGCTGACCGGCACGGTTCCTGAGGCGCTCTGCGCTAGCAAGTCGCTCCAGAGCATTGTGCTGACTGGGAACAAACTTTCTAGAGATCTGGGGCCAATCTGCCAGGCGTCCAAGGCTAAAGGAATTTTGGAAATTTAGTCCCAGCGCGAACAAGAATGAGGGATCGGATATGGAGAGCATCAGCATCAGCACCAGCAACAAAGTATCATTCAATTCTCCCACTTGAAAAAAGCATGTCCTAGCAAATGGGCGGTTGCGCGTGTCTATCTAATTCTCCCTCGAAAATCTTCGCCTAATACCTTTATCAACCTTGGCCATCATCTCTTTTAGGAAAATAGTGTGTGCTACTATTTCCATTATACCTAATACAGTCATACTCAGTATAATAATTATTGAAGATAAAAGAATAATCAGTCGTTATGCAACAAGATATTCTAGTCGGTATCAGTCGCCTTCTCCGAATTAACGGGTCTGTTGCATTCAAATCTCGCTATGCTTGATCTTCGATACTTTACTATGACGTCTTATGCTATCACTTCTCGTACTCTCGTTGTTACTTCAAAAGATGCTATAGATTTCGATAGTAAGATTGGTCCAAGTCACTGGGTATAGAAGTGTACGATGAATGAGTCATGAATGAGATTTATGTATTCATTAATGATATTGCCTACCTTCTCTTACTTCGAAGGTGGTGTTGAAGAATTACGCTATGGCTTTATGGCCACATAACGCCGTCACCCATAATCTTTGCCTTGCGCATATCGGTGCGGACATCGAGGGGGTAATCCTTTGGCGCAAGTTCTCTCCTCCATTGCTTCATTCTCTTGCTGAGAGCCTCTTCTCTGCCGCTCAACTCGCGTTTGGTCAGGCTGTTTGTTGAGTATCCGGCAAAGTCACCGGCGATGCAGTGGCTTTTTCCGCCCCAGGTGGTGTCTGCGACGGCCTTCCAGATAGCGGTGATGTCAACGGTCATTTGCTTGGTGTACAGGATGCGGCAGTCAGCTGGCTCGTAGACGAACTGCAGTGGGGTCTCAGTCTCGTCGCCGTCACGAATGCCGTCTCGGAAATTGATGTTGATTGACGAACCAATAGCGAGACGGTCAAAGGGAACGGAAGACCAGTACTGGTTTAGCTCGGTGTTGTTGAGCTGCGCTGCCTCGTCGGCTGAAGAGGTGGTGTTGAGAACCGCATATTGAGCAAGCGCCTGGATATAGGTCCAAGGAAGATTGTTGGTACCCTTGACTCCACCGACTGCTTGTGTGATACCCTCACGAGGGCGACCACCAAGGGATATGTACTTAACACCAGCACGTTGGCGCATAAGCTCAGAGAAAATAGTGCAAGTAGATGCGCAGTACCCGTCAGTTACAACAACAATGTCCTCAGCAGCGAAGGGCTGTTCAGTATAGTTGGATAGAGGGCCATGGCCGTGAACATAGATGCCACCTGAGTTCTGGGTGATCAATGTATCGTTTAGGTTCCAGCGGAAGAGGCTTGTATAGTTGTCACCCTTGGCATGAAACGGACCAAACTTTTCCGTCCAGCTGGTGAAGGGTTCCCCATCAAGGTTCAGATCTGTGCGATAGTTGAAGGTAGAAGAGATGACATCGCTCTGAAGGCCGTACAGTGTTTCGTTTTGTTCCGGAGTGACTGGCTCTCTTGTCACACCTTCAGAAGCTTTGGAGAACTGTTTGCCAATGAGATCCGTTGATTCGAAAGCACGGAATCGGTCAGCTGCTGCGTGATCGATGTCATTAGGGAAGAGGAGTGAATAGAGGTCGTATCCCAGCAAGATGGTACCACCACCATTTGCCTGAACGTCAATGACAAGCTTCTTCTTTCCGGCAGCCTTGGCTGCGGAGAGGAAGTTTACAGCAGTGGCTTGGAATTCTTCCTGAGCATCGATGCCCACAAATGAAGGAACAGACAGAACAGCAACATCGGAGTACTCGTCTTCCAGGTAATAACCACCAATCAAGTTGTGGCTTTCACGAATAACTGGCGGTGGGAAGCCAGGAGCAGGAATTGGTGTGGTGGATGCAGAGGCGGATGCCGAAGGGGTTGGTGTAGTAGAGTTAGAAGGAGCGGGATCCTCAGTCTCAGTAGGTTGGTTGCCGGTAAACCAAAGCTTGTAGAGGCTCTCGCCATCAGTGATACCATCGAATGGGATCAAGACCTTGGCAAAGTTTTGGTAGGTGTGGCTAGTGCCATTGGCGAAATCAAGCGTGGTGGTAGCTCCAGGGTAAATCTGTCGTGAGTCAGCTGCTAGCTCATGGAAGCTTCATGTAGATGTATCTACATACCCAGCGACCTCTCCCTGACCCAGCAAAAGTGCCCATGCCAGGTCCAGTGGGGCCAAGTGACACAGTAGCAAGTTCATAGAAGACGTTGTTGTAAAGAGCATCGCGGTCTTGGAGAGAGCCGTACTGTGCCCAGTTTTCGAGGTATTTCTTAGCGTTCTGACCATTAATCTTTGTGATGGGAGATGCCTTGAAGGTTGCGTTGCCAAAAGACTCAGCTAAGACATCGTCGTAGACGTAGGCCTTTGGTAGTTCCTTGCCATCTGAAGAGGCCGAAACGAGAGGAATTGGTCGCGCAAAATTAAAAACGGTTCCTAGGATGTCGGGCACATAGACAAAATGGCCGTCGTGTGTAGTTTGGAGAAGACGATAGAGCTCGAAGCCGAACTGTGACATGGGTAAGCTCTTGAATCTCGACTTTGTGCGCCGACGACATACCTCGTATTCGTTCGCATAATTGCTCTTGACTACCTTTTCTCTTATCTTGTCAAGCCCACCCCAGATGTCGACACCGGGTTGCACCTTTTCAGCGTATTCTTTGGGGGGATCCTTGAGCCAGACAGTGTTGCTTTGCCATCGGAAATAAGGCACCACACCGTCGACAAGTGCAAGGGCAGCAGATTGGTTGAACGGGACTGAAGTAAGACAATCGTAGGCCAACTGTGCAGGGACGGTGGGCACGGCAGCTGTTTGAGTTGCGGCCGAGCTGGCTACTTGGGCACACGGGCTCGTTGCATTGTATTGACGCGCATGGAAGGGCGAGGCGAGAGCACCCGAAGCGAGAGATAGAGCCGCAATGCTCTTGGAGATGGGTGCCATTGCTGCAACTTGACGTGACCCGAAGACGAGCAATTTCGAACTTGAGGTACATGGAGGATGTAGGGCAGTGGCGAGCATTTATATCCACTCCAGGCGCTAGCTGCACTACATGGGACGGCGAGATACCGGCCGGTGCCTTGTAGAGTCGACTCCATATTCCGCGAACTATGAGGTGATGCAATGGATAGCAACGAATCGCTAAGCTTGCACCGCATTAGTGCGTCGCTCAATGGGGAAGGCGACATGTGCGGATTTTACAATGTCGGCTCAAATCTCTTGTTAGCGTGGTGAATAGAGCTGCCAAAGTAGGCAAAGATCAGGTGTGCAGGACCGGCTTGGTGGATGCGAGCGAACAGGTTCCTCGAGGAGATGGTCTTGTGGTGGACTTGATCGAGTCGCGTCTTGAGTGTTGAGTTGGTCCACTTACATGAGTGATGTGCCTCTCCGCTGGAGACTACATGTGTGTCAAGGGCGGCACACGACTTGAGCTATGGAGAATGAACAATGCAAGCTTTAGATGAAGCCTCACAAGCATTGCCGTTTTGCAGCCACTAGTCGTTCACGGTTCCTAGTGGCCATGTCAGCCTAGGCCGAAAGGGGCAGGTCCGTTTCTTATCGGGTCCACCGCCGCTCACCGGCCCATCCTCCAACCAGAGTAGCATTTGCAATCCTCTGAAGTCACTTCTTGTTACCAGCATAGGGGCATGTCGCCGCGCTTAATTAATTAAAAGACGACTGCAAGTTGCGCATGGGAGATGAGACGGCTATCTAGAACCTTGGCCCAACGAGCCCATGTCAAATAATGTCCCGAAACTGCAAGCCACAGTCGTCGTTCGGACGCGATTTGAGCCTCTTTTCCACTTATATCCTTAGGGCGTACATGTGTCCAAGTATGTGCTTACTGACAGTACAAATCAGACAAGCTCTCGCTTAAGTTACCACTACGTACTACCTGTAATTTTTAAAGCAACGACACGCTTGAACATACCCAAGTATGTAAACACCGAGTAAGCCTACATACAGCACCCATGAGTAGCTTAGGATAGGGCGATAGTCATTGGGTATCGTGAGCATGGAGAGACGCTGTCAACTGAAAAGCATGCATTACCCTCGATCGTACTGAATGACTGCACAGTTGCTACTATGTGGAAAACAAACAAGGACTAATGTAGAGGGCCATATCAAACGCACCATCTTTGCGCTGGCCCATGCCAATCTCTCGAATGTAGCTCGAGTTGTGGGAAAAGTGCCCAGCGTCGAGCTGGCGCTTCATGAAGGCGTGGGGCTGGGCAAAGTCGGCCACCAAGTCGTTAATGATGAGGGCATCGCCGCTGGGCATCTGGTCGGCAAACCAGTACAGCTTGGTGGTGATGGTAGTATTTGGCAGCATGTCGTGAGCGAGCAAGCAGTAGCGCTGGTGCTGAGGCTGGTCCTGGTACTGTGTCTGGAGACGGGCCCACAAGGTGGCGTAGTGACAGGGCAGTGGCAGCGGCGCCACCCCGTCCAGGCTAAGGTGTGGCTCAACGGCGTCGGCAAAGGAAGCGTGCGAGTCAAAGTAACAACGGCTGTACAACTTGATGCGCGCCGAAGGATACTTTGTGGCATCAATCGAGAGCATGCGCGGTCGTACACCTTGAGTGCCTCCCTCGCTGGTGGGATGCAAGCTAAGATGGCGTCGCAGCTGAGCCCATTGAGCGCCAATGTCTACGCCGTAGCGTGGCAGTAGAGCGAAGATGTCGTCCAACAACTGGAGAAGCTTCTGCCCAAACAGGCACGCTGGAAGGCGCCAGTACAGCTTACCGTGCACCCGTCCTGAAGTTGCCAGATCGAAGCCGACAAAAGTCGTTGAAGGTGTGCACACTTTGCATCCAGCCGTGTAGTCCGTCTTCTCCCAGTGGGCCAGCCGCGCCGTCACAGCCTCCCATATATCTGGTAGCATGTCGATACGATATCCACCAAGCCCTGATCTGCTCGCATATTTACGCAGCCTGTCGATCGTCTTTTGGGCTGTCAAGAGCGAAGCAGCACGATTCGGATTTCCTTGGCGTCCAATCAAGTCAACCACGTAGCGGACCATAACTGACGACGTGCCCTTCCACCCGTAGCTCACCTCGACCGGAGTTGCGTCGTATGTTAGCGCTGATGGCCCCGCGGGACGCAGTGGCAGCGATGGTACTGGTCCTGGGCCTAGCCAGTCGCAGACATGATGTCTGAAGAAGTCTACATGGGCCGCGATAGTTATCCGCCTCGGTATATGACTCGCTCGCAGTCAAGGCGTGTGCTAGATGCTGTTCGACCAGTTCAGCCCACCGCACTCTATCACTGTTGGTACGGCTCATTGTGTTCTGCCACACTGTCGGTTAGGCGTCCAAGCACAGTACATGTGTATCCGCATTATGCGCGGGGCATGCTGTTGTCGTTTTATACCTGACAAAACAACCACCCTGGTCGGCTCAGGCCCCCTACATTAACTGTATATGTCCTTGATCAATAATCTCCTCGGAATCCGAAGTTGATCTAGGCCTTTCGCAAGCCTATGATACCTCTGGACTGATTGTAAAGTCAGCACGCATCACTCACCACCGTATCATTCTCACTGTAGTCGCAGAATAGACGTATTTTGCTTAGTTTCCTCCAGGTATCGTTATGGTCCATGAATGATAGACGTCTGTCGATCAACTCAGACCGGCCCAGACTCAGCTTTTCTTCACTAGCTCTTATTCTCCGGTTCAATCCAATACTTTATACACGACTTCCTTTTCACTAGTAATATGTTTTGATTTTGGATAGTCGGAAAACGGGACTCGGCAGAAAAGAGGTATCGTGTAGTACACCAGCCGTTCATAGTCTGAATACTGGCTCGAATGCTTAGTACAATGTGCTGTGCCATTTAGGGATCAGTTACCTATCATTTGAAGAATGAGTTGATGGAGTGATGATAGGTTAGTGGCCAATGGGGTTTAGTACGTCGGGAATATGTATCCATTATCGAAGCGATGAGCAAACACCATTACGTCGCAATAGGCAGAGCAACACAAGTCTCAGTCTTCATCTGAGCCATGAGAACGGTGTTTCCCCTGGAGGTCGGTGCGCGTGCTGTGATGACGTGATGTGATGCTCCCCGGACTGTGGATCGGACCGTAGTAGTAGTGGTAGTACAAGCATGTAAGTAATACTGGAGTGCGGGGCATGCATCGTCACCGGTGCAGGGAAGCCTGGTCACTGGGGCTGACATGGTCCAAGTACAGGGCGGTAGCTAACCATGTGTACTAAGTATGTACCGATGCCAATTCTACCACGCATCGCAATCATAATTTCTATCGTTCCTTTTGCTCCACCCGGCTATTTGAACAGATGCGCATGGCTTGTTTGAGTGTGGGGAACGCCTGATGACGTCAGGCGGTTGTCAAAGAAACCCTGCATGTCCAGTCGCGTGCAAATGACGGCACCTGCACACACTGTTGTTCTACTCTACTCTACTCCACTCCACTCACAGCGAGCTGAGCACCACAAACACCATGTACCTTTCTCTCTCCTAGTCCATCTGCACCTTCCATACTCTACGGCGCCGCAAATATGGATTCGCACGTACCGCGCGAGCTACCGGCTATGCCAAAGCGCAAACCAGTCGCTCCGCTCGCAGATCCTCTACCATCTTCGACATCGGAGCGCGAGCTTACCAGCAAACTCATCCCTAATGTCTTCCTTGTCGCCACCGCTCTTGCTGCACTGACTCTCTCCTGGCCGTCGCGATGGGTCATCTCGGGAGCGCCCACCTTTGTGTATGCCATCTTGCTGGGTGAAGCCCACGGACATCGCATCCTCCCGTTCGCCCCTGTGTGGACCATCTTCGCTACCGTTAACCTGGCATACGCTGTATGCGCAACATCATGGCTCCTCTACTGGGTCTTTTTCACCTGTTGCTGGCCAACTCTTCTCATCACGTGCCTTTACCAATTCGACGCCGCTGCCGCCCTCGCACGACGCAGTCTACGCAAAACATTTTTGCGCGATCTCCACTTCATCAACGACCAGATAGCTTTCTTTGACTTGCCGGCGCTGGAGATTGATACCGAGGTCAAAGGTCTCTTCGTCATTCGCGGCGTTACGCTATCGCTCTCGACAATGACGCTTGTTGCTCATGGCGTGGAGGCTGGAATCAAACTTTCCGATGATGTCGAGCTGGGCATACAGGTGGATAAAGTGGTTGTGCCATTGTTCCGCGAAATCACGGTCGATGACGTGTATGCAAACGTCAAAGGCGGGGAATGGGAAGTCACCTTTGGCGATGTCACGTATGGCGTTCCGGAACCAGACGACGATGACTCGATGGTCGTAACCAACACGGCTATACTTCGAGCGGCAACGCAAAAGGGCGGCATCACCGGTCGCCCGACCGACATGATGCGAAACTTCACCGCCGGAAAAGTCCCAACCGAGGCTCAGGACACCGCATCTGCCTTCTCATCCGTCAAAAAGGTGGCTCCGGACGAAGAGCAAGCACACACAAAGTACAAGGAGCTGATACGCTACATCGACGAAACTAGTGCCATAACCATCGCAAAGAAACAGTTGATCCAGGCTTCAAAGGCACGTAAAGATAGCAAAGTCGACTCAGAAAATGAGGAAAGAGAAGGGAAGCAGAGCAGAAAGGCGAGGGAAGAACCAGGGGTGCGACTCGATATCGAAAATATGGACGACTTTCGTGCCGCCATTTGTGCCCAGATTCACGGCCAGCCTTCCATACCCCACCCACCCTCCAAATCGATAAGAGTATCCACACTTCGCAAGACATCTTATCCCAACGTCAAAAAGTTCCTACACCGACTGCCATTGCTATACCGATTGATGCTCAGCCCTATTTGCTACTTTCACCCGGTCAAGTTCAAGTCCGTCACAGCCGCCGGATCAGGGAAATGGTTCACGGCACTCATGAAAAAGTATTTTTTCAAGCATTACTCGTCACAGGATGCAGAGATTCGTAGACTTGAGGCGCGGATATCTTCCTGGTGCGCGGATGCCAATTTTGCTGTTGAACTGGGCCCAATTCAGAGTGAGGCGCAGTTCCCGATCAATACGAACTACAATATCCAAACCAAGTTCAAGATCTCTGATGTTCTTGCTTACAGAATTCTGCCAGATGCTGTCGAGCTTAAACAAGTCGTCCGATTGGGAGGCGCAAATGCAACTCTCACAATACCCACTTTCCTGTTTCCTCACCATGAGCACATCTTCCCTGAAAAAGCAAGCGACTTTGAGTTACTCGAGATAGAGTCAGCCATCAACGAAGCTGAGCCTACTCCAAAACAGGCATTAGCTCGAAAAGAGCTCAAACGACTTAAGAGGGATGAAGCGGCTATGCATATCAGTGCACATGCACACTTACCAGCTCAGTTCCATCAAGATCTGTTGAACTTTGTTGCCGCCATTGTCAAGGCCACAAAGGTCATTGAGTCGGATAAAGATTTTGAGGAGGCCAAGGTTCTACGAGAGCTCAAGCGCGTCAGCACCAACCTGTCCGACAGCGAGGCGAGCAGTGTAGCGTCCGTTAACACCAACAACACTGAGACCACACAGACGACCATCAACGGAACTGAAGATAAAAGCTTCAAGGCTTTTCTCAAAAAAGTAGATACCGGTTTCAAGGAAGCGTCGAACAAAACCATGGTAGGTATGCGTAAAGCTGGACAAACCACCGTTCATGCAATGGCCAATGATCGTTGGATTGCTCGGCTGGTCGGTAAGGTGACCAGGAAGATGGAAAAGGTACAGGGAGAATTGGGATATAGCGTCGATGTTCCCATACCCTTGGCTAAGTACCGCGTGCGTCATGAGCTTGAGCCCAAGCTTCTACCATGAATCGTTGCTGTTCACACACATTCTTGGGACGTTTGCAATATTGTATGATACCCCCTTCTAGGTTACAAAAAATTAATTTTATCGCTTGATAGTGGTGTCCATATGATTTGTCGTCATGCGCCTAATTCAAAATGTACGCGTGATGTCCTGCTGGTTATGATTGCTGTTGTTGTAGCATGTAGGAGGCGCTGCTTTTTTTTAAATCTCCAAACGACAAGTTGCTGTTTCCAACTTCATATTTCTTTTATTAATGTAGTTCGCTTCTACCCTTTTCTACAAGATGGCTTGGTCCAGAAGGCAATGCACTTAGCAGGTTCAGCGCTGAAGCCTACTTTGAATAGTCAGTTCTAATCTAATAGCCTATTTTTTGTGTTCTTCAGCGGCCTGGTCCGCCTCGAGTGGATCGCTTAACTGATACGCCTCAATGAAGATGCTCGCGAGCAGTGCGATCGCTGCGATCGCTGCCGCTACGATCCAGATATATCTAAGTGCGTAAGTGAAGCTCTCAATCACTTGCTCTTTTACATCGCTCTTCGGCATAGCTTTGATGATCTGTACCAAGCCTATTGCATCTTTGGAATATTCCCTGGCTTTCCTAGCCAGGAGCGGCTTTGACAGCATCCTCTTCTCAATCATGTTTTGAAACACTACTCCGCCGACTGCAACACCGAGGGTCTGGCCAAGAGCTCTGGAAAACGTGAACATGTTTGTTGCGGAGGCCTGGTTTTCCGCGGTCGTAGAGGCCTGAACACCGAGAATCATGGCCGGATAGAGTACTCCGAGTCCAATACCACCAACGAGACTTATTGACGCCCATACGGCTGTTGGTGTATCGGATTTGAGCAGTACGAGGAGACTCATGCTGACCACCACAACACACCAACCTAGCCAATTCGCCCATCGGTATGCTCCCGTCTTCGATATAGCGATTCCGACAATCTGTGTCATGGTTAGCATTCTGTGTTGATATATAAACAGCCGAGAAACGTACCATTGCAGTTGGGGCCAGCGTGAAGCTCCATGGAAACATGCCCACACCGGCCATGACAGGCGACATATCCTTTGCTGCCTCAAAATAGAGTGGAAGGTAAAACATCACCATTGATAGAAGGACGCCATAAACGACAGTTTGCATGTACGTGATTGATGCAGACCGGTTTTTGAAGATGGCAATAGGAATGAACGGGTTTTTGGCCACATACTCCTGGTGTAAAGCAAATATCATCAGTCCAGCAGTGCACATGGAGAGCGGTACGAGCGTACGCCATGAGTTCCAGGGGCATTCAACACCACCCCGAGTGATGGGGATAAGAAATCCTGTTGCCGATGTGAGGAAAAGACTCATTCCGATCCAATCTAACTCCTTCATCTTTGCGACAAGAGCTACATTGGCCTTATTGAATCTCAAAAATATCGCGATGGATGTTCCGCCGATGCCAATAAACGGGATATTGATCCAGAAAATCCAGCGCCACAAGGCTTCTTTAGCCAAGCCTCCGCCTAAATTTCGATATGTTAATGCTATACTAGGTTCGAATGCATTGCAACTTACCAAGTAAAGGTCCTGTGACGGTGCCGAGGGACCACATAGCTCCAAGCGAGCTAAACCATTTCCCACGTTCTTTTAGAGGAATCTTGTCAACGACTATCAAGGCTGTTATGCACAGGATCCCACCTCCGCCTGCACCTTGGATGGTCCTTCCTACCAGTACAACTGTGAAATTCGTGGCAATAGCAATGACGATTGAGCCCACTAAGAAAAGAGTCATGCTAACATTAATGAGCGGTTTTCTTCCAAAGACATTTGAGAATGATCCTAATATTGGCTGAAATACAGTCGATGCGAGAAGAAACGAAGTGCCGCTCCAAAAAGCTTCCACAGCAGAGCCTGTAAGAGCTTTTGTAATAACCTTCAGCTTAGTTAGCTACTGCTACTACTAAGAAGCATTCAGAGATAGCAATGATATGGAGTGGCAAAGCTTACAGGCAATGCGACTGCTAAAGATGTAGCGTCGAGAGCAACCATTAGTACGACTATGCAAAGACTACCAAAAGCAGCCATCAAATACCGTCTGTCGCGGCCCTCATCTCTTTTGGGCTCAATTATTGAGAAAACATCTGGAGTTCCTCGGGTGGCAGATGTTTCCTCCATCTTCTTGTTAGAGCTGTAAATTTCGAGATGGTTGTGGGAGGTCCTCGGACTCTGGGGGAGGCGGGGGGCGAAGTACACTTTTACACCAAAGGCATCATGCTTATGAACGTCTACCCAAGTTCTGGCTCTGACATATATCGACGCTTTGTTGGAACGCCCAAGCGTTGATTGCCCTAAAAGTAAGCAGCTCGACCAAGGCGATCGGAACCATTCTAGCCATTCAACAAAGCTGGACGTCAAATAATTCTAAGGGATATTTGTTCGAGTCGGGATACGCTACTGTTTGTCGAATAGATGAGATGATGTCTTTTTGAAACTACTTAGCTGCAAAGTCAAGCACAGTCAGAAAACTGGCAAATCCAGTTCTTCGCTGTGAATGGATAAGTACTCGTCAATCTATCCAACGATTCTTGAATTTGAAACCTCAAAACCTGTATTTCTTTTTGTTCTCGACTATCGCATCAATAATGGGGTTGTAAAGTGTTCAGGTAGTAGTTCCTAGCCATGCTATAGTAATGGAACACCGCAATTGAGTTTTCTAAAACGATTCACGCGTCTTCTAAGCCACGTGACAAAAGATTGCTGTAGATCTTTTGCAGCATGGTTGGCCAATAATTATCCGATGAGCATCACATTGACCAGCGATTAAAAAAAGCAATTGTTTTTCTCAACATTCTCACACCGGGCACTCGGTAACAAACAAGATGAGGGGGGAACGTTACATTGAGATATGCACCGCTAGCACAGATTTGGGATCTTGAAGAAACGGTGTTCCATGGAACTTTGAATCAGAAGTAGACGAGTCAAGTGAGGTGGAAGTCGGTCGTGGTTCTCACCGCTAGACCCAGGCACGGCTTCAGACTAGACGCGACACCGATAAGATAGGATGTCCGTTTTGCGTGCATATAAGGGCCAAAAAACAACACTTTCGAACGTTTCTGTTGACCGGTAAGCTGCTTTTTGTGTGTTCTTGTCTGTACGAGATGAAGATAAAAAAACAGCTATCGAGAAAGTCATTGGATGGTATACACGAAGCTGCAACCACGATCCTGGATTCTTTGCACGGAGACTACCATTCTCGCTGGACATGTGATTCTAGGGCAATGTCCTTCCTTGTGCAGCAATAGGAGCGCTCCCCTGAGCTACGGTAGAGTAAAGGATTTATGCAAACGAATGCTTTTTGATGCAGTTTGATATCCAGCGCGATGTTCGCTTGCGACTACGCTAACGAGAATAAGTAAACTAGGATGCAGTTGTGAAGGGGGCCTCATGTGAAACTGAGGTAGATAAGTTCGAATGCAAAGCAGCAAAAAACTTGTCAAACATAATCTCGTCAGGCTTCAGTTATTGTTCTGATCACGAAGTAAATTGTTTCTATAAATGCACCGATAACTTTTTACGTTTTAGATCAACAAGATGGACATGCGATCGGACCCAATTGCCATTTGTGGCATGGCTCTTCGCTTGCCTGGCGCGCTCAAAACACCCGCGCAGTTCTGGACATTTCTCACGGAGAAGAAGGATGCTCGTGCACCCATTCCTCTGACACGGTTCAACGCCGAAGCTTTCCATTCGGCTTCTGGAAAGTCCGGCTATATCAACTCAACATATGGCTACTTTCTGGACGAAAGCGCTGAAGTGGGCGCTATTGACACTTCCTTGTTTCGCATGTCGCAACAAGAATCGGAGCGCATGGATCCTCAGGTCAAATTCCTTCTGGAGCTTGCAAGAGAGTGTTTCGAAAGCGCTGGAGAGATCTGGTGGCGCGGAAAAGACATTGGGACATATATCGGGTCATTCGGAAACGATTGGTTAGAGATGGCTACCAAAGACCGTTTGAACAAGAGTATGTACAAGGTCACTGGTCACAACGACTTTTCGCTCTCGAATCGGATAGCGTATGAGTACGATCTCAAGGGTCCGAGTATGACTATCCGGACAGCATGTTCCGCATCCCTTCTGGGATTACATGAAGCATGTCTCGCAATACGGAACGGTGACTGCAGTGCAGCTCTGGTTGGCGGCTGTAATCTACTTTGGAGTCCCGATACTATGTCCGATATGTCGGAACAAGGCGTCACCTCACCCAACGCATCTTCTCGATCGTTCGATGCAGATGCAGATGGGTACGCGCGTGGAGAAGCTGTCAACTTGATTTACGTCAAACCGCTTAGTGCTGCTATCAGGGATGGAAATCCTATCCGCGCCATCATCCGTGGATATGCTACGAATGCCGATGGAAAGACTCCTGGGCCGAGTATGCCCAGCTCTTCGAGCCAAGAGGAAATGATGCGTAGAGCATACCAGACTGCTGGGATCCCAGAATCTGACATCACACGAACTGCATTTGTTGAATGTCACGCAACGGGCACCACCACAGGCGATCCTATCGAGGCTACAGCAGTGGGGAATGTATTCGGACATGGCGGAGTCTACATTGGGTCTGTCAAGCCAAATGTTGGTCATTCTGAAGGCGCATCGGGAATTACGTCCATCATCAAAGCCGTCTTGGCTTTGGAGAATCGTGTCATACCACCAAATATCAAGTTCAAAATACCAAATCCCAAGATCCCATTCCATGACAAGGACTTGAAGGTGCCGACTAGTTGCATCGAATGGCCTGCGGACAAATTCGAGCGAGTCTCTGTCAACAACTTTGGAATCGGAGGTGCTAATGCTCATTTCATCCTAGATTCTGCTGCATCATACAGCGGGATTTCGAATGCAGTCGGTGTAGAGCAGAATGCGTCATCTCTAAACTCTGTGGGATTGGGTAAATTATTCTTGGTATCAGCAAACACATCAGAATCTTTGGAGATGCAAACCCGGAATCTTCGGGAATATGCAT